TTTTTTTTTTTTTCTCCTGGTTATAGATTACTACATTTCAGTGTGGTCTTTTCCTATCATTTTGTTAGCCTTTCTGAATTCTTGAATTTTATGTGTTTTCTCTATAAGCATCGTACAGTTGCGTATCCTCAACAAGTTTAACAGGCTTCATATTTTAACTAGAGGATTGAATCTCTTTATATTTCATAATTTTAAATCTGCTGGGAGGTTTGTGCTCTTGATTTATCCTCAGTCAGTCTTTAATTACCATGGAGTCAGAACCAACTGAAAGCTGACCCTCCAGCAAGTTTCCAGAGTTAAGAAATCTCAACAGGAGCAGATTGCTTATCTTTCTCCCTCAGTGGAACTGGTAGATTGAAACTTCCTGCCTTTATTCCTTTTTCCTCTTTGGTTTCTATGCCTTTAAAAAAAAGGAAAAATATTTTATTATTCCTTTTGTCAAATTTTTTTAGTTTACACATTTTACATTCCTTTAATAGTTGTCATACAGATCAGAACATGAATCTATGATCTAAAAAAATCTAATCTTAATTTACTTTTGTCTGCTTTCTATATAATAAAAAGACAGCAATATGTTTTAGCTATATCCTCTTCCTGACTTGATTACTATTATTACTGTGTAGTTTAATTATCTGTATATTTAAAATCCAGCATTATTATATTTTATATTGTCAATGTTCATTTAGACTTACATAGTCTTTTCATTGACTCTCCTACTTTCTACATCTTGGATCATTTAAATAAATCCTCCCTGTAGTACTTTCTTTACTATAAGTCTGTTGATAAAGATTCTTAGTTTGCTAGAAAATGTCTTTATTGAATCTTCATTCTTTTTCTTTCTTCTTAATATTTTATTGTGTTTTAAGAGTTTCACTGCAAATTAGATAACCACATAACAGTTTCTACACAGATTTTTCTGTGACACAGGTTACAGTTTTCCACAGTGTGCCGTTATCCTCATTCACTCTGTTTTGATGTATCATTTTCAGTATTCTTGTTTCCCTTCAAGAATTCCTGGTGGCATAATTGTTAAAGTGCTCAATACTGACTCAAAAGTCAGTGATATGAATCCACCAGGTGTTCCACAAGAAAAAGATGAGAAATTCTGCATCCGTAAATATTTCAGTCCTGAAAACCTGATGGAGCAGTTCTAGTCCCCTCTGGCTAGGTCACTGTGAGTTAGAATCCGCCTGATAGCGGTGGGTTTGGGTTAGTTTTCCTGCCCCCCTTACCTTCTCATTGTTGCTTTTTTTGATGTCATTTTTTGACGTTTGGTGTCCAATAGGTAATTTTTTTAAAGGATGCTTGTAGATGATACTCTTTATTTTGTGGTTTGTTCTTTGTAAATAAAAATTTTTAGTTGTGATTTTAATGAAAGTTTCATTCATTCATTCTTGCATGTTTTCTTCCCTCCTGCTCCTTTACCCTTCCCCAGTTTACTTTCTCTGATAGTTATTTTGCACAATCTTCCTCTACCCCTTCCCCTATTTTATGGGTTTATGAATCAGTCACAGGTAACAGGTTAACTCCAGGGATAAAATTTAAGGTTAAAAGTATATAGCAAAGCAGCTACCTTAAGGAATCTTTGATTCTCAACCAGACTGATAATTTTTACTCCTTAAGAAGTTAAGTTCTGTTGCATGTTAGTCTCCCATTCTATAAGGACTGATTCTGATAAGAACTAGAGAAGGTGGGAGCTGGGCATTATGTATGGGAAGATAAGGCCTAATGCTTTTCATTCTTGAAGATTATTTTGATGAGTTGTGGGGTGTTTTCCCCCCCTCTGTATCAGTTGCTTTTTCCTTTGATAACTTTGAAAATATTATTTCTTTTCTGGCTTCCATTGTTTCTGTTGACAGATAAAGCATTCAGTCTAATTATTGTTTCTTTGTCACTCTTATCTGGATTTAGACCTTCTTAACTCTATAGGTTGATATCTTTAATTAGTTTTGGAAAAATACTCTGCTATTGTCTCTCCAAGTATTTCTCCTGTGGGCTCTGAATCTTCTCCTGATGTTATAAACAAGGTGGACTTTTGGTTTCTGTTCTTAACTGTATTTTATTCTTAAATCTGTCTAGTAGCCACATTTCTGGAGTCATTGAAGATTTCTGTTTTCTGTTCTTTTTTTTGGTTTTCATTCATTTTGTCCTGTCTACTTATGTGGCTGGTTATCTTTGTTTGTCAGAGTATTTGCAAGATTATTTGTACATATATTTTTGGATCTATGATAATGTTAATTTTCCTCCAAAGAAAATAATTACTTTTTTTTTCTTTCTAGGTTCTAGGGCACTAGCAATCTGGGATTACTTTAACCCAGTTTTAGAAAATCCAGTTCTCTGGACCATTCAGATGACTTTAAACTAGACTACAGCTTCTTCAAAAACTGATAATTTCAGTTTTACACTTACTGCTAAGATCTGTGTCTTTGGGTTCCATTGTCAGACATGAGGATTTTACCATGGAGCTGTCTCTACCCTTGACAAAGGCTGGATTGAAGTGGTTATTCTCTACCCCATGGGATAGCAGACTTTTTCAGGGAAGGACTAGAAAATAAACATTCTGCATTTTATTGCCTATATGCTCTTCATCACAGCATTTGACTCTGCTGTTATTTCACAGAAGTAGCTAGAAGTAATAGGTGAATGAATGTGTTCCTGTGTAACACTCTGGTGTAACCAGACAGGCACTATTATGGATAGTGTGAGCTTTGTCTAACTTGTTTGTTCTCATTGCCTTCACACACACACACACACACACACACACACACACACACCCCTAGTCTAGTTGTTTTTAGTAGATTTCATCTGAAATACCTAGTACATCACTATAAAAAACAAAATAATTAATTTTAAAAGCAATGATTTCTCCCACCCCAGTCTCAAGAATAGCAGTATCTTGAGTAGTTCTTAAAGACTATTTTTTTTTTAAAAAAAAAACCTATTTCTTATATAACATTCTGTGCTATTAATATCTGCTTCCCCCGCCCCACCACCAAAATCATTGTGTGTCTCTGTGGTATTCCTGAAAGATTATACCTTTCACTATTAAAGATACAAAACTGTATGATTCAACAGAGCATTCTGTGCAGTAACGTAGTCCATGTATGACTATTAAATGCAAGAACTCTGTGTATGGCTAGTGCAATGGAGGAACTGAATTTTTTACTTTTCAGTTTTAATAAATTTTAGTTTTGAAAGACTCATATGCTTGATTTAATTTGGGTAGGTACAACTTAAAAAGAATCTTACTTTAGTACACACATGCTGTAGTCCCACTGACTTAAGTGTCCATTTCCCAGTGCTGTTCCAGTCAGTACATAACTTAAATGAGTTCAGTGGATGATGTTTTATGACATATCCCAGGCTTTGCAAAATGTTTACATTTTCTCTTGACATCTACATGTTGTTATGGCTGTTGTTTTTGTATACCATCAAGTCAGAACCGACCCATAGCTGACCCCCAAACAGATATTCAGAGGTTGTAAATCACAGGAGAGGAGATTGCCCATCTTTTCCCACAGTACGGCTAGTGGATTCGAACTGCATACCCTTGGGTTGACAGCCCAACTCCTTAGCACTAAACCACCAGAGCTGTGATTTTCATCACATATTTTCCTGTAAGGGTCACATAAACCCAATGCAGTCACTCAGTTTCATTTCTAACGTTGAATTTCTCTGCAGGGAAAGGGTCGTACTCGGCGAGGGAACCATGCCAGTCCTTCCTCTCCTGCTGTGGTTCGTTTGCCCTCCGTGTCTGATGTCCCAGAAGAGGCTTTGACTAGTGAGGCGGCCATGGAGACAGACATCACAGAACAGCAGCAAGCAGCAATGCAGCAGGAGGAGAGAGTGCTGACTGAACAGATTGAGAACCTCCAGAAAGAGAAGTGAGTTTGCTGGAGGAGGAAGAGATACCATTTATTTTCTGTTTTCCTTTCTCCTGTCCTATTTTGTTTTTCCTTATTCACTTGAGTTCCAAACATGTCAGATGATAAAGGGGCTAAGAAGATGACAAAGGCAACCGTGTGACCATTGTCACCTCAGGAAAGGATGCTCCCTGATGGTGCTGCATTGAAGATTCTGGAAGAGCTGATTAGTAGCACGATGCAGTGTGCAATGGTATTTCTTAGAGAAATTCAGCTGGCAGCAGTAGTAGGCACCTGCTGCATTACTGGAGTCCGAACAGAGAGAGCCCCAGGCCAGCCTCAGGGAACGGATTTGTTTTCCAGAGAACAATTAGCATTCTTAGATTGAGGCAAAACCCGTTTCAAGAGCAGCATTATTCCCAACTCCATGAAAGAAGGTTAATATCTGAACATCATTGTGGCTATGGGACCAGCAACTGAACGGTGAATGTAAAGCAACAGCCATACTGAGTGCTGGGAAATGAATTGTGGTTTAGGAGAGAGACAGATAAGAAACTCTGGGACCTCTACCATCACTGGGACTAGAGAGAAGTAATGGGGTGACTATACCTGGAGGATAATACTAACACCTTATGCTCTCTATGAAGGCCTGTGTTCTAGTTCTGGCCAACAGTGCAGATTCTTTGGGAAACCGTAGAGGAATTCTGATTCCTGGGTTCCAGGATTTCTGGTCTAAGAGGATAAACCTTGTTGGGGATATTTTTCACCTGTCAGGACTAATTCAGGAACTTGTACAAACTGAAAAGGCCCAAATCTGGGGCTTCACTGTGATGAACATGATATGGCAAAGATGGTATGCTTTGATCAGGGACTGGCTATTTGTTATAAAAGTAATCTGAAAAGAGGAAGAAAGGATTGAATTTAGCTTTAATAAAGATGATATTGGAGGTCTTTTAGAAAAAGTGGAGGTGTGCTAAGAAGAAGAACATATTTCCAGAAAAAGGACAAAATATAGGCCATTCTCAGAGGTGTAAATGCACATGGATTATTGCAGTTGTAGTGGTAACAATCAGGCAGTTGTAAAATTAAAAAGACTCTGACAGGAAGGAGATTGGTGAACAAGGAGGTGAGAATTGAAAAGATAAGAAGGTTGTGGATAGAATGGAGTACTGGATTATAGTGCTGATACATATCCAGGTAGAACAAGCTTGATGATCTGCCCTATAGGGAAAAGCTAACTTATGTAAAGGTTTTTGGAAATTATAGGCATAATAAGCTTAGGGAATTCATTTGTTTTTACAAAAATAATGTTGGAAATACCTCACAGTGGTGTGATATAGTAGAGGGAAGGGCCAGAGTGGGACACGGGAACGTGACTGAGAACTAGGTGGGTGACTGGTGAAGAGGAGTAGAGGTGCTGTAACTAGTGATGGCACAGCTGCAAAGGACAGCAAGTCCACTTAATGTTTTTCTTCATCTGTTATCAAGATGGTGGTGTGTGTGGTGTCCTTTCTCCAGGTTCATAGGGTTTCCAGAGGCAAGCTGTTATGGAAGTGGATGCCACTCCTGCTTCCAAGTGATCAAGATAGTGCCTAGAATATTTAGGCAATTAGGAAAGCTTCATGGACAGTCATTTCAGAACTAGAAGGAAAAGATTATCTAGTTTTTAATCTTTTTTGTAGATAAAGAGTCTGAGGGTCAGAGAGAAGCAAGTACTTTCCTGTTGTTTAAGGATGACTTCAGAGTGGGATTAGAACCTTGATCTCCTCATCAGTAGCCTGGGGTTCATTTTACCAAAAGAACTTAACAGATCCAGCTTCTTCCCCATCCCCCATCATTCCCTCACTCATTTTATTGATCTAGCCTTTACAGCCTATTATTTTTTCTTTAGCCAGCATATTTTTAGCCCTCACTGTTCCCTTTGCTTACAAGTTCTTAACAGCATCCTGGAGAAATGTGACTACCTAACACTTAGATCACCAACCTTTTTTTTCTTCTTTAATTTATAATGGAAAGGTGCAGCAATGAATGGCTGCAAACCCTGTGTCTCTATAAACTTTCATTTAAATTAATTAAAGAAAAAATACAGGTACAAAAAAAAGACACCAGAAAAAAATTTATAATGGTTTGCTTACAAAATTCATATGCATTGTATATCATTCATGTACATTATATTTCACACATTCCTGTATTCACATTTTATTTCATACAGTCACTTATGTACATTGTGTTTTATGCAATTACCGCATCTTTTTGGGTCTCCATTGGATCTTCCCTAATACCTTTACCCCTCCACCTCTATTCACCAAACTCTGTTATTCTAGGGATTTCCTCCCTAGCCTCTTCCTTTTTGTCCCCCTCCACTTCCCATTGTGGACTTTTATCCACATTTTACTAGTGTGGATTCCTAACTTTCATGGAATATCTTTTTTCCTGTCATTGTCCTTCCACTTTCTATCAAATACTAATAATTTCCTGGCTCTATCTTACAGGGAGGAGCTGACATTTGAAATGCTCGTACTGGAGCCCCGTGCCTCTGATGATGAAACTCTGGAGTCTGAGGCCTCCATTGGAACTGCTGACAGTTCAGAAAATCTGAATATTGAGTCAGAAGGTGCTATCTCTGAGAAATCAGGTAAATGAACCAAGACCAGACTGCAGATATGTTTTAAAAAGGATAAAATATTCCCAGGCCAAGACAAAGTCTCTTTTGAGAAAACCCCTGCTTCACTAGAGGAAAAATGATACAATCCTAAAGATCATTATGAAGCTTCCATATAAATTATTCATCCAGCTTTTGCTGGTTTATTGTTTTCTTCTGTGCTATGACAATATCAGAGCACATACTGTCTTACTGACCCCTGACCCATTTTCTAAAAATGGATGGCAAGCATTGAGCCCCACTGTGGGGTGGAGCTATACTGAAGGAAGTGTTTAACCAACTTCCATGACTCAGGAAGATTCTGGCAGTTTTGTATGTGTTAGTGATAGTTTCGGGCTTCTACTGGGGGGAGAGTCAAGCACTAGACTTGCCCAGAGCTGATTCTGAAATGCTATTACATATAACTGCATGGTGAGCTCGTTCTAAGTTGTATCTGTACACAAAGTAGATCAGTGTGGATTGTCTTAAGTCTCAACCTAGCTGACTTCACATGTGCACAGTGAGGCTACTTCATTGCATGATGATTTGCTTTAAAAGCAATGATTATTTACAGCTTTGGTTTCTTTTTGCATTAGAGAGAAGCTTAGCACTTAGCTTCCTCAAGCCAGCTGGCAAGTCTGAATCTTCAAGCAAATTGCAAAAGCAGCTAAAAAAGCAGCAAGATTCTTTGGATTCAATGGACTCTTCATGTCTGCCTAACACTGCGTCTTCTCATGGGACCAGAAAACTATTTCAAATTTATTCAAAATCACCATTCTACCGAGCTTCTTCAGCTAGTGAGGCCCTGGGAATGGAAGCGCCATTGGGCCAGACTAAGTCCCTGGAAGACAGACCTCAGTTCATTAGCAGAGGAACATTCAACCCTGAAAAGGGCAAACAAAAATTAAAGAATGTGAAGAACTCACCTCAGAAAACCAAAGAGACCCCAGAAGGGACGGTAGCGTCAGGCCGCAAGAAAACTGCAGACCCAGACTGCACCTCCACTCAACAGCTAGCTCTCTTTGGAAATAATGAATTCATGGTCTGAACTGGCAGATGTGTGTTCTTTCATGACCACATCTCATCTTTGGGGTCTCTGCTCATCACCTCGTCCACAATAATCCATCTGATTGTGGTCCTGCCTCTTGCCCAAGCATACAACCAAAACCTTGTGTACTGAATTCCTAGGCCTCCTGCAGAAATGGAAAGGCCTCTTGGAAGCCTGCTAGAGTTGGTGCCAGCTGTGCCTTGGCTATTGAATTTGAATTAAGATTTTACTAAAAATCAACCTGGGGCCTGGGCGTTTCGATCCGCTGTGGAGGTCTTTGAGCTGCTTCCCCCTGACCCTGTTTTTTCTTCCCAGCTGTGGGAGTTGAGCTGGGAGAGGAAGACATTGGTGGGCCAAAGGGGCCCACTGAATACTGACATTTGATGAAAACATGCAAATATTTCCTAACCATGAAAGCAAAAGCTTTTGGGCTTATTTTGGGGTAGTTAGGAACTCGAGTTGAATATAATTTTTTCCAAGAATTTATAGCAAAAAGCCTGAGCCCTCTATTTTAAGATTTTCTAAATAACACTCCATGTTGTATTCTGGGGAAAGTAAAACAGCAGTTGTTTTCCTTAAGCCATCAGAGCATGTCTCAGACATCTGGTTATACAGTGAAGAAGAAGATGTGTTTTACTTTTTTGTTGACGTTTTGAAGTCATAATAATCAGTGCTGGCTTAACTCCTGGTTATTAGTTCCTGCCAAATATATTGCATGGCTGAAGCTTCACTAGCCATTCTCTTCTCATATTCCTCAGTCCAAATATTTTTTAATAGTTGGAAGAAAATATACTAAATTATACTTAATTGACAGACAAGTCCCCAAGTCTTGCTATTTGAAAGATCCTTGGGTGGGTCTTCAAAATTTCATTGTACCAGTTCACTTAGTGGTCACTTCCAAGCTAGAGAGCTGTCAGTCCAACCTTTTTAGAATGTATGAGAGATAAGGTGGCCCCTACATTTGAGAGTGCCATCCCCATCCATCCAAGCTTTTCTCTGCTTTGTAAAGACGAAGACTACACAGGAGTCTATTAGTCTGCTGGTGGATTCTCACCACAAACTCAGCTCATGTGACCATTTAATTCTTTCCTCTCAAAACATTCACACCCAACATTGCATGAATAAGTGTTGCAGAAAGTGGCCAAAAACATGGGACAGAAAAAGGTTTTAAAATTGTATCTTCTTTTACTCAGACCATCAGTATTAGATGTTAAAAACCAAGGACTACTTGAAACTATTTTTGTTAATATTCTGGTTACTGAAGTTTACTGTAAATATATATGTATAGTATGCATATTTCTTCTTAACCATGTGCTTTTCTCCTTCCCATGGAATTTCTTCCCACAGATTTGGAGTCATCAGACAGGAATGCGACATCACTCATCCTTGTGTGGAGGGAAAAGTAACCCTCATTATCACCACTGGGTGTCTCCAGACACTCAAGTTACAGTAGCATTTTAAGCTTCTTAGCTTTTGTGGGATTAGAAGTCTGTTTTTGCTATTTATAATATATGAAAAATAATGTATGAAAAACAGAAAAACATGATACTCTTTCTTGAGATAAGTATGTGAAAATGTTTATTTTTAAAGTTACTAAATGCATCTTGTCTAACTACTATATGCACTGTTCTGAAAGAGCCTTTACCATCTGTAACCTGCATTTTGGTTATTCTCCCTTTTCATACTGCTTTGATTTGAAGGGATGGAAATCCTAAGTCTTTGATTAAGGCGGAGTCTATCCTGTTACACAACACTGAACCTCATGCCACTCCCTCGGTGGTTCTCGTCCAGCCCCGGAGGGCAGGCTTGGAGTAGCAGCTACAGGTAGCAGGAGTCTACCCTCTCCCTGGGCTGAGTTCAGAACTGAGCCAGGAGCAGGAAGCTTTTCCAAACCTCCAGAATGAAGATGGTTAGAGTAAATATTCGACTTTATAGCCCACAAACATCTGCTACCATTTCTGTGGCATAATAAACATTGAACTTTTAAAATTCCCCATTTCAGAGACTCTCCCTGAGGAGCGCCCCCAGTATGGGCAGTCACCATGAAGATGCTGGTGTCTCCAAGCTGGTACCAGGCTGCACCCTTCAGTGCTTTTGGGGAACAGGCTCGGCCGCATGTGACTGGTCCTCACTCCCTGCCCCAGCGGATGTTATCTGTTACGTGCTTAGTCAGGGGCTGAGAAAGAGACTACCCTTGTTGAGCAGTTTCCTTTGGCCCAGAAGAATGTCCTGGGGAACACATTTTGGTGTGAATTTTCCCTTCAGAATCTGGGAGGGGTTTTTTGAGCAAAGTTTTTGACAGTTAAGGAAAATTACTCATATAGGTCACTTTATATAGGAACTAGGTGACGGATGTTAAGAGACGTTCTCATTTTCTCAGGGACCCAAAACCTGAATTTGGAAACAAATAAATAAATAAAAAAACAACCCAAACTGCACTTGTTTTTCAGTGGCTGGATTTGTGGATTCCTAATCATTTTACAAGCTGCCACAGTGGGGAAAGGGAAGGCAGCCTGAAGCAAAGAGCCATTCGATCATCGTAATGGAGAGCAAGTGGGGAACCTTCCTGAATGAAAAGAAAAAGAAGCTGTGACTCTCATGGGGAAATAATATAGATATGAAGCCATAACCCGTAACAACTGTTAGAACAAAGTGCTCTGTCTCTTCAGTGGTTCCTAACTGGTTAATGTGACAGCACTAAGTGATGCTGTACTCCAGTCACTTACAATTAACATATCTAACATGTCAAAAGCTTGTCTTCCTGTTGCTTTTCCTTTGCTGCTTTGTTTCTTTGATCTGCAAGGCCCCAAATACATCCATGGCAATAATATTGTAGCCCCGCATTTGGAGCCCATACTCACAAAACCCAATTTTTAGTGTGCTGCCCCCTGCGGTCAACTGATCCCATTAGTTGCAAAAGTGTTGTGAACAAGCAATGTCATGAAAACAGAAGTATGCTAGGGTTATGTTCTGAGAGTACAGTGGATTTGTACTTTTTTAACAGCAAATAGCGGCAGGATTCAGGGAGGTGACAGGCTTAGTTTGCAATGCACTTTGTACTTCCTGCCATTTTAATTATTCTATTACCCTGCGTCTCTGAAAACACAAAGGGGGGATTGAGCCTTTCCAACATGAGCCTTCAGGGAGAGAGGAGCCCTAAGCTGGGAATCCCCCACCTCCTCTGGAGACCTGCCACAGCTCCTACCTTGCTGGGAGGGTAGTGAAGACTTGTCCTGTGTTCTGTCACAAGAAGGGTAGTTTTCATGGCCAGAGACAGGTAACGAAGAGTATGCTGAAAGGGCCAGCTAGCAGCCACAGCCGCACATCACTCCTCAAGGCTGTGTTTTCACTGTAAAGAATGTGTTCCTTTCACATGCACTTTGGTGAACTAGAAGGAAGAAAGTTTTCTCAGGATGTCTTCAGAGCTAAGAGAAGTTCAACTTTTTAGAAAATGGTAGTCAGCAGTTCCTCCCTCCCCACTTTCCCCCATCCTTGTCTCTCCTGGGGAGCTGGGCGTAGATCTGGGTCATTTGGTGTTGGCAGATATATGTGTCTCTCCATATACAATTTTGTGGCAGCTCCCCAGCACTACCTCCCAACACTGTCCTATCCTTGGTAGTAAAATCCCATGCTGTTTGTATGGTCTTCTGTCTTCCTAATGCCCCTAGGATTCCCTCACCAGGATATTTTTTAACCACTCTTCTCAACCCACTCCCACGTTTGACTGATGTTAAAGAGTAACAGCACAATGACTTAAGATGGACCTGTTTAGATCTTGCTGGTCTCTTGGAACAGTTTTGAAGAAGTCCCACCCAATAGGTCTTAGTCACCTTAAAATCCATCCATACTTAATGCCTACTTATCATCCTTCTTAGGTCATATAACTTTTACTCCCTTGAACCAAGTAAATAAATGTATTTACAGGTTTAAAGGAAAGGGTGTGAATTACAGATTAGTATTATTTTAATGGACTTAAAGTAATTTATAAGTATGCTGAGTGTAAATTTTTTTAAAATATGTATTGTAAAAGGACATATCCTGTGAAATATATCATTTAACTGTTTAATAGAATAATTCTATGAGAATGATTTATCTTACCCCCAGAATTGATGACATTCCTGATGCAATCAACAGGCACTTTGTAATTTCATATTTTGGGGGCGTTGTTTATTTTTTGGGGGAGGGAAGACATCATCTGTATAACGTGCAGTTCATGTCATTTAAAATGTGCACTGTATGGCTCCATGAACAGCTTGAAACTATCATTTCATGGCTCATTAAAGAACAAAGCTTCCCAAAGCTGCAGCTTGTGTGGTTTGTTTCTGACCATCCTGGCTCCCATCCCGGTTCCATCCATCCTGAACCCAAGGAACAATAGTCATTTATTCATTACACTAATTTGTAGGTGTATTGAAATTGGCTCAGGTTAGAGTAGGGGTTCAAAGCTAGTGTCCTTAGATACGGTCACTGTGAATCGCAGATCACTTGGGGTATAACATCAACAGTTTGTTTTAGGGTTAGTGTGGCAAAGTGGTAAGGAGTTGCACTGCCAACCCAAAGACACAGTTTGAATCCGCCAGCTGCTCCACTGGAGAAAGATAAGCAGTCTCCTCTAGTGTGATTTACTGCCTCTGAACACCTGCTGGAGGGTCAGCAATGAGTTGATTCCAACTAAATGGTACATTAAAAAATTCTGTTTACATTCAATGCAATCCCAATACAAATACCAATTCCATTCTTCAACGAGATGGAAAAGGCAATATCCAATTTCATTTGGAATGGAAAGAGGGCCTGAATAAGCAAAGCTCTCCTTTAAAAGAGAAACCAAGTAGGAGGCATCTCACACCCTGATTTCAAATCCTACTACATTGCTGTGGTGGTCAAGACAGCATGGTACTGGTACAATGACAGATACATAGATCAATGGAATAGAGTTGAGAATCCAGAAATCAGGCCATCTTCTATGATCAACTGATTTTTTACAAAGAGATGAAATCATCAAGTGAGGAAATAACAAATGGTGCTGGCAAAATTGCAAAACTATCTGCAGAAAATAAGATCCACACCTAACTGCACACACAAAACCAACTCACAATGGATCATGGGACGAGGACTAAAACCAAGGACTATAAACTTCATTAAAGAAAAGCTTGGAAGAACCCTGGAAGTCCTAATCCACAACATAAACAGTCTTCAAGCATCCTAGAAAACCTACAACCAGGAGAGGATAAAAACAGATGAATGGGACCTCTAAGAATCAAATCCTTATGCACATCCAAAAACTTATCCAACAGGGTAAAAAAGGGAAGCCACAGACTGGGAAAAAGTATTTGATAATGACAAGGGACTTATATCTAGAATTTATAAAAGAACTTGAGCACCACAACGAGATAAAGGTAAATAACCCAATAAAAAAACGGGCACAGGATATGAACAGACACTTCACCAAAAATGACATTCAGATGGCAAACAAACACATGAAGAAATGTTCAAACTCCCTAGCTCTAAAAGAGATGCAAATCAAAACAACTATGAGATACCATCTCACCCAGTAA